ACAGCCAAAGCTGGCCATTCCTACAGTTCCCTTGGGTCTCTGGAATGCTACAAAGGAGTCAGAAGGGGAGTAGAATGACCACCTTTTCATGTTTGAGCAATGGAGAACCATGGTGCACCTCCATTTGATCCATCCCCTCAGCCTTTCCTGGGGGGTATTTTGGGAGCAGGAGAGAGCCTATGCCAAACTGTGTAGCCCTCAGCCTTTCTAGATGGCACTGCAGCTCAGTGGTGAGCTGTAGTTACTTGCTTTAGTTTATGCTGGGGACCACTTTGGCTTTCCAATTAGCCCAGAATGCCTCAGTTGGCCCAAGAAGATGCAAACCCAGCTGCATCCTCCCATCCTTTCTGGAGCTTGCCTTCAGAGCATGTCTGACACACAGGATGCAAGCTAGGTCAAAGTCTCTCTTTCAAGTTGCCACAGAATTTCAGATCCAGGATCCTGATATTTTGTCTCTATCCTAGAAACATTAAAAGATGGTCTTAAATGTTTTAAAGTTAACTGCTCCCAAAATTAATGGAGATGACCTTTCCATGCTTTGGACAGGAGCCTTTGGTGCTTCCCGGCTGGCAGAATTCATAGAATCAGAGAATCTGAATGGTCTGGGTTGGAAAGAGCCTTAAAGATCACTAAGTCCCAACCTTCGTGATGTTGGCAAGAGCACCTTCTACTAGACCAGGCTGCTCACACCCGCCTCCAACCTGGCCTTGAACACTTCCAGGGATGGGGCAGCCACAACTTCTCTGGATAACATCACCATCCTCACAGTAAAGATCTTTTCCTAACATCTAATCCACTCCTACCTTCTTTCCATTCAAAGCCATTCCCCCTTCTCCTGTCATCCATGCCCCTGTAAACACTGTCCCTCCACTTTTCCTGTAGGCACCCCTCAGGCTCTGCAAGGTTGGAATTAGGTCAGCCTGAAGCCTTCTCTTTTCCAGGCTGAACAATCCCGATTATCCCAGGGGAAACAGGAAAGATGATCCATCCATTTAATCAACTTAGAGGCCTCCTCTGGACCTGATCCAACAGCTCCATGTCCTTCCTGGGCTGGGGACCCCAGAGATGGACACAGCACTGCAGCGGGGTCCCAGAGCCGAGAGGGAGAATCCCTCCCTCGCTCCTTGGCTGCAGCCCGAGGCTGCGGGAAACACAACATCACTTATTAACTTGGCTCATTAGCATCCCAGTCCCGCGGGACTTGAGGAGTTTGCTGCAGAAGAACCCAAACCAGGGATGTGCAGAAGAACCCAAACCAGGGATGTGCAGAAGAACCCAAACCAGGGATGTGCAGAAGAACCCAAACCAGGGATGTGCGGCACAGCTCCCCCGGCGCTGCAGCGCGGCCGGCTGCGACTAGATGTCAGCACTCCACTGGGCAAGCGGCCCCAGCGCAGCGCCGCCGAGCGCCGCAGCATCCCTGCCGAATAAAGGCCATCTGACCTGCCCAGGCTGCCAAATAAAGGCCATCTGACCTGCCCAGGCTGCCGAATAAAGGCCATCTAACCTGCCCAGCTCTCGTACCAGGGCTGTGCAGGACAGCTGCAAAGCTACAAGTGAACCGAGCTGCTCTTTCGCAATGAAATCCAATAGCACACCAAAAGAAATTAAAAAAAAAAAAAATTAAAAAAAAATCACCCTGGTGTGGACCTCAAAAAGAGAAGAAAAGGAGGGGGAAAAAAAAAAATCTTCAGTCATTTCCTTAAGGCTTTGGACTGTTTCTCCAGATAAAAAGAAAAATCACGGTGCCCACAATCACCTGAACTCTGGCAAGGCAGATGCAGCACGGATAGCTCAGCAAAGCTTTTGTTATTTGGCTTGGTTTTGTCTCGAACGTGATGAGATAACATCGTCTCTCACAAGTCAGTTTTATGAGGATCTGTCAACTCAGTCCCCATCTGTTCTGGAAAAATAAGCCTTTTCAGGTTAGAGTAGGATGTGGATTCAAATCCACAGGGCACAGATTTAAATCAAAGTATCTGAAGCCCCTTCCAATTGCCAAGTAGTGAGGGGAGGGTTTGCATTTGAGCTTCCCTGACAAGCTGGCTTCTGTTTCAAGCCTTTTATTAACAACTAACACTTAAAGTATATCCAGCAAAGAGGAAAACAAGGAAGAAGCAGTGCAGTGTATGAGAATGCAGTCTGTGCAGCACAGGGGAGACAGCAGGTAGGAAACAAAGTAGAGTTTCATTAATTCAGAGGTATTCACTTACAGCTACAAAATGAGAATGAAGTCTGCTAGTAGCAAGCAAGACACTGCCTAATGTAGAAAATGAGAATCAAAGCATAAAAGTGGTATGATGCAAGAGATCCCAAAGCCGATTTCTTAGAGTGTTCAGTTTGTTCTATACAAACTTGTGTGTATAGATCCATAAACTGTCACTGCTACTGAACATCCAACACTTGGAACTGCACCCTGCACTGCACACTATTGAAAACTTTGAAGGAGAGAGAGCTGGGGCATTTTCAACAGCTCCATCCTGAGCTCTGGTCACCAGTGTCACAGCTGGCTCTTAGAGATCTCTGCTCAGAGCTGCCACCCCATTCTGGGAGCTGAGCCCTCAGCTTCACCTCAAAGCCCTTTAAGAAATCAAGAGACTGTAAGTAGCAGCATTTGCACTGAAATTGCCAAGGTAATACATTGATTTCTTTCAATAATGGTGACATTCATAGTCTTATTTCATCACTCCCTGCAGAATCCTAAATGCTCCACTAATGAAGAAACAGCTGCATCTGCTTGTGCACTGCTACTGTCAGTGATGAAGAAAACAAAACTGGTCTTGTTTAGGTATTGTTCACTGTCCTCACATTCAACTATTATATTCTCAGAGAATACCAAAAACTTTTCATTAATCAGTTACTAAGAAATTCAGGAGTGATCTGTAATTTCACAGACTGTGCTATATAGGAAGAGGATTTTTGTGATGTCTGCTCTAGTACCTCTCCCAGCCCTGTTTACAGCAAGCATCTGACAGGAGGGGAGCTGGCTGGGTGAGCAATGACTTCCCTCTGCACCAGAAATTCCTGTCCAGTTGGAAAGAGTTAGCAACTGTTATATCCTTTTTTTTTTTCTTTCCCCATTTGCATTCCTCAGAAAATGATAGCATTTTGCTGAAATCACTGCACATAACAAAGGCAAAGGCAGCCTGACAGCTCTGCCAAAGCAACAGCTGCAGGTACTGGATAGGAAACACCTCTGAACTTTCAAAATGAGCTTTGGTAAGAATATGAGTGTATGAAAGAGGGGAGATCCAGCTTCCCACACCCAGCTCATTGCCAGTCCTGGCATCACATCATTCCCTGGGGGTAGCATCTAACATTGGAGTTTTCCAGCTCGCACTGCCCTCTGAAGCACATTCTCTCCCAAAAGTGAACAAAACACCCAGCCCCTCTCTCTTTGCTTCCAAGAGAAAGTGAGGGAAATAATCCTGAAGTGCTGGATGCTGTGCTGTGCTGGCTCTAGCTCGAGGTTTGAAGCCCTGCTGTGATGGAAGATGACTGTGTCAGTCTCAGCCAGACTCACCACGTACAGAAATAACCTCAGCAGGAAGTGGAAACTACCCTGGTCTAGTCAATGGGTTTCTGCAAAAACTGTGATGTCAGAGCAGCAGCACATGCATTTTTGGGGGCTGGCTAGGGTTAGCAGTGTGTGACACCAGAGCTGTTTCACAGTCCAGACAGGCTTTCCCCAGTGCAATTAGGTGCCAGTGCTGTCCTGACATTTGAGACTGCAGCTCTGCTCCTCTTCTGTAAGTCTGAGCATCAGGGAGTGTCCAGGACTGGAAACAGGCTCACAGCCACTCCTGGGACAAAGAAAAGCTGTTGGTGTGGGGTGCTGGGACTGCCTTTTGGTTTCAAAGGAAGAGCAGCAGTGAAAGAAGGGTGGGTAAGAAGTAGAGGGATAAAGAAAGATGGAGAAAGAGAGGGGTCTCCAGACGTCAAACTGCTTGCTGCTCTTTGAAGCCTTTGCAATCAGTTGAAGTTCTCCATGGACACATCCTGGCCCTTTAGCAAGATCAGATTGCCTCAGGACAAGATGTTTGTAAGGAAAAAGCTGGCTAGATACCCGTGCCTCTTCTCCCAAAAATAACAGCTTGACAGAAAATTTGAATCTAAGAGCAGTTGTAGGTATCATGATACTTCTTTTTTACCTGTCCTGAAAGATTCAGGTGGTATCACACATCACTAGCCCCATATTTTCCATCCCATGTTCTGACATGCTGCCTGCATTAGCATTGTCTTTCATACTTATAACATCTTTTACAGCAGAGCTCCCCATGGGAGAAAGAAATCTTTGAAGCTTCCCATTCAAATCTTCAAAGAAGGACCTTGAAGAGCACTCAGAGAGAGTGTGGGAAAGCCTGGAACAGGGATAATGCTATAAAGCTGACTTTCCCCTTTGTCCATCCATAATTGTACCACTCTTGCGCTCCCACTTTTTGCACTTCCCTAAAACTCCCTGAGTGCTGAAGAAAGTTTATCCATTCTTCCATCCTGTTGGGAACATCTACCAGTTTCTTCACAAAGTTGTGACCAGAAATAACACATAAACCTGCAATATAGATTGCAGCCTTAACCCTGGCAGCGAGGAGATTGCACTGGGGGTGCTGGGCGTCTGCACCTCCAGCAGCATGCACTTTTTGGGCACGTCTTTTCAAGCCAAATGCCAAACCTTTGCTAGTGGTATGTAACAAAAGTCCCTAGAAAATGCCAAGTTATGCTTCTAAAGAATGTGGTAAAATCTGGTCGATTTTAGTTGCGGAATCACACTATGGAGAAATAAATCACTCAAGACATAAAAGGAGACACTTTTTCTTTCATTTCCTCTGTGACATATTCCCCAACGCAGCCATTAAGTCACTACCTTCTACAGGAAATTCTGTGGTAAAACCAGAAAGATTCCATCAAAACTGACGAAACAAAACCGTGTGCATGTCCTGTGGCTGCTCACTGCCGAGCCTGACTGTGAGCAGTGAGCTGCTCCCTGCACTCTGGATTGAATGGAAACTGCTGAGTTCTATTACGTTTATTACTTAGCCCAGGATTATCTGCAGTATGTGCTCCAGGAATCACACCTCGGACCAGCCCAGACCAGGGTTGCTCATGTCTTGAGAACCATGGCATCCTCTCTGCAAGACCAAACCGAGGAGGCTCTCAGGCCACTCCTGGACAGGATTGACATCACCTCTGTAGCTGTTGCCAAGAGAATTTTCAATGGAGTCATGGATGAAAAGTTTGCTGATGGAAATACTAACTGGGGACGAATTATGACCATCTTTACATTTGGAGGTCTTCTCACCAAGAAGCTTCAAGAGCATGGGGTTCAGCTGACTGCAGAGGAGAAGGAGCAGATCTCTTATTTCATCACAGAGTACATCATAAACAACAAAGCCGAATGGATTGATGCGAATGGTGGCTGGGTGAGTTTCTCATTTTCCACCAAAATCTACATTAGCAGATTTCATTAATTATTGCTACAGACACTGTCAAAACCATTTTATTCTGGGTTTCATTTGATGGCTTAATATTTGGTGTCTGGAATGTCTCACTGAGACTCAGAGTGAGAGCTTTGCTTCTGCTTTAAACAGAACAGTGATAAAAGACAACTTTATTTTTAAAAGGCACTTGCCAATTTTGAATGATAGGATCATACCATAATCCAGGTTGAGAATGACCCTGGAAAATCATTTGGTCCAGTGTCCCACTCAAAGCAGGTTAAACCACACATACCCTGAAATTTCCATTATTAAATCTAAAATTAAGTGACATCCTAAGGTCAGCGCAGCAATTTTGCTTTCATAGAGAAGTTGGTCCAAAAATACTTACGTTCAAGCTAAGGAAAGAATACACAGGTGTGATCCTCACAAATGAAGTCAGCACTTTTGTTGTGGATTTCAACAAAGCCATTATTTAATCCACCAAATCAGTTTTACTTACAACAAATACACTGGTAAGTACAACTGGCATTAAATCTTTTCTGTTTGGACTGAGATAATCCTAGAACTTCCATCTATGAATGGTCAATGCTGAGGAAAATACTTGCTACTAAGTGGACTGTTTTGCCAAGCTGCTGAAATTCCCATTCTGCCAGTGAAGGGAAATATCCTTTCACTCTGCAAAGTTTCATCGCATCAATACTTTTTTTTTTTTTTTCAGTTGGGGGAATTTGAGCATTAATGACACCAGTGTCAGTTATTTCCTTGGTACTTTTTTCCTTTCCTTATATGTAAATGTTACTTTTTCTTTCCACCCCCTCTCATCCCACTTCTCTCATATTTCCTTCTACTTTTTCCCCCTGATTTATTTTCTAGTGTCTTGCTTTTCCTTTTTTTTTTTTTTTTTTCCTTTCTCCTTGTTTTAATCCTTCTCTGTCTGTAGTAGCAAAAAAAAGGTGATAGCAGCTCTTGGCCCCTTGATACATTGGATTTATTATAGAAGATTATCTTTCCATCTCCTTCAAATAGAGTCAATTTTATTTTAGAGAAGTATCAACTCCTGGCAACACTCTGTCATAATAGGTGGCTCATGACAGTAGAATAAGGAAGCTTAAAGGAAGATATTTCTGGGTGTATTACTACATCAGAAACATAGTACTTGTACCTTCCTGGAAGATGTGGGCTCAGATGATAGAGGTCATGTTTGTTTTCTATTTACACAGGGAGGGCATAGCCTTGACTTGGAGATGAAACAAACATTCAGCAAGATGCAGCTACTTTAAGTTGCTATTTTTAAAGAGCTACTCATCTTTTGGAGGTAGAGCTCTGAAAAGCTGTCCCTCACTGCACAGTGCAGCAGCACTGTTAGATTAATCTGACACAGAGAGTGGTGTGGTTTCCCTACATGCTGTTTTTCAGCTGTCCCTAACTGGGTGTGTTCTTTTCCACAGGAAAATGGCTTCCTGACAAAGTTTGAAAGAAGATCACTACTGTCCTTCTCCAAAATTACAGCCCTGTTCATAGCTGTTGTTTCCTTGTTCAGAGAGTACTACTGAAGTAAAAGGATCTGCCATTCATGTGTAATCTAGATATTGCCACAAACTTCACTTCTCAGCCTTCCTCCAAGCAATATCAACAAGAGAATGATTTCCTTCCATCATTTGTTTTTAATTTATTTGTATTTATTTTGACTAAATACAATGATTAATATGCTATCCTAATTACCAAATCTGAAGATGAGATCCTTCCACAGGGGAACCTGCACAACATCATGCAGCAATTCAAGTCCACCTTTCCAGGCAGGATTGCTTCGAGACCATTTTCCACATCCAGACAGCTCTTGGAATCTCTCTTGCATCTCCATGAAAGGACATTGTTTCAGTGAAATACAATCCAATGGGTTAAGAAACAAGTTTTTATGTCATTTGTTTTGTAAATGAAATACTACTGTAATGCATTTTATTGCAACCTCTGTATAAGAAAAAGGCCGGGGGGAGGGGGGATTTTTGTGAAGAAAAAAGAAATGGGAACTCCAATATAGAAATGGGTAGAAGTTACTGACACAGACTAAGCAATTTCTATGGAAAGAACTGTTTGTGGAAGCTAGCAACTTAAAAGTGTGCACTCACTTACTGTTATAGCAATGGTATGTGTTTCTGTGCTGTATTTTTTAATAGCTCATATCTACAATGAATGTTCTTTCATATTTGTGTGATGTAGTCATCTGGCTGAATGTTTTTTAAACTAGATGTTTAAAAATAGGCAAGTAAAAATATGTTGAAATGAGAAATTTGTGTAAATACACTAATATTTTAAGAAAATACATTAAAATATGTATTTTAAAGCCTTAAGATTGGTCTCATTTTTTCCAGAAAAATTGGAGCATGGGAAAAGATTTGTCTGAGCAAGATAATCTTAGCAGAGTTATCAAAATGCTGCTGGAAAATCTAAGTAGTTTATGGATTTGACCTGAGGTCTATGGATGTCAAGATTTTCATTTTCTGTAGTACTTTTTAGGTACTATCTGGTAGCTTGCATAAGAAACAGATATCTTGTGGCAAAATAAATAAACTGGATCAGCTCTGATGACAGTAATCAGTGTTTTGGGATACATCATAAAACTCAGCAAATTCACAGAACTTCCAGGCTTTAACATTCTGGGGGAATTCATGTTTTTACTCAAATTCCATTTGCTTTCTAAGCCTAAACAGTAGTTGTTCAAGAATTCATTCTAGAAGGGTTTTCTTCAGCTGTAGTGATTTTCCATTAGGGAACTAAGGCTGGTTCTAAACACCCTTCTTCTTTTTTTAGACATGCTGGGAGGTGAACCAAACTGAGCCAGCAGCTGCCTGTGGCACACAACACCTCTGTTCTCTGAGACAGATCCTCTAGAAAATCCAGCTTTGTGACACTGAGAGAACAAATCAGCCTCTTCTAATGGGCTCTCATCTTTCATCTCAACATGAGACACTTTTTTTGCAGTAAGAGCAATTTTTTTACTGGAACAACCTGTCCAGGGATGTGGTAGAGCTCCCTTCCCTGGCAGTTTTCAGGGTACAACTGAACAGGGCACTAGATAGTTTCATCTAGGCTCCCTTTTCCAGGAAATGTTGGACCACATGAGCTTTCCATGTCCCTTCCAGCCTGGGTTGTTCTGTGATTCCATGGTCTAATTTGGTGGGTTTAATCATAGAACACAAACAGATGTTAATGTTTGTTAGAGCATGTATTTATTTTTCTCCTTCCCTAGTGAAAACAAGAAATATTATTTAGCACGCAGGCAGAATTTGTAAGATAAACTTTGTTGGTGTTGAAGAAAAGATGTCAGCATTCAAAGGGCAGGGTGCAGCTAAAGGAAAATGCCCACCTCCAGAACACCTATGGCAGCACCTGTCAGAAATGACATTCTGGAACATGTTATGACATATGTTTTTATAGGCAGTCTAAGTCTTCATGGTAAGAACAGTAATTTTTACTCAGTTCCTTTTTGAGCAGTACTGCAAGCCACACATTATAGTGGCTAACACTAATCTATTAATACCACCTCCACTTCCTTTTACACTGATCTAGTAACCTATTTTATACTCAGAAGTACAATTTTTTAGTTAAATATAAAGGCTGTGTCTTTTCAAAATGTAGGTGATACAGTAATTTTAGAACTTGTCTTTGTGGTAAGGGCAGGGTTTAAACAAAAGCCTGGATGGATCATTAGCAGTCCAGTGGGCTCCAGGTTAACTTCACTGGGAGAAAACCTCTTTTTTTCAGTGCAGAGCAAGAAAATCAGCAATGAGATGTACCACCCCAATTCTAAGCATAATAAAGTGTCTGAAAACAGCAGGGCTATTAGCTAAGTTTCATAAAATAGTGTCCATGTAACTGTCATGAAGTTATCCATCCATGACACTGAGTAGTAACCAGGTCCTGGGGCACCACTGTTTGAGGGATCCTTGGATCTGCCAGGGGAGAACCACATGCTGCTTCTAGAGCAAAAGGTGAGGCCAAAGAGCTGCCCAGTGGGACAGCTGATGGCTTCATCCATGCACACAGCAGCTAAACTGAGATGTCACCAAAAGCCACACAGAAGAGATTTATGAAAACAGCTGTTCTCCTACAGAAATGTCTATTTCTGCAATTAAAATCACAGAATCAATTGGACTGGACAAAACCTCTGACATCATTGAGTCCAACCTTTGGCTGGTCACCACCTTGTCAACTGGACCACGGCACTAAGTACCACATCCATTCATTTCTTGAGCACTTCCAGGGATGGTGACTCCACCACCTGCCCGGGAGGTTAAAGGTGTGTTGGACCCAGAGGCCTGCCTTGGGACGAGGCTGGCACATCTTCCCTGTGGGCACAGCTCCCTGGCTGGACACAGCTCCTGGACCAGACACAGCTCCCGGACCAGACACAGCTCCCGGTTTGGGCACAGCTCCTGGGTCGGACACAGCTCCCTGGCTGGACACAGCTCCTGGGCTGGACACAGCTCCCGGTTTGGGTACAGCTCCTGGGTCGGACACAGCTCCTGGGCTGGACACCGGTGCCCACCTGAGCCACGGGCACGGGGCTGACTACCACGGGGATATGAACTTGCTTGGCAGACGGGACTAGAGCATCCCGCCGAAATGTACTTTCCTTTCCTGCAGCGAAATTAGAGAAGGGGAAATTCACTGCGATCTGCGCCAGGGGAGGGAAAAAAAAAAAAAAAGGGAAAAAACCCCCCCCACGCTGGTGTTGGCAGGGGCCCTGCAGCACGCCGGGGCTGGTGCCACCCGGGCTCGGAGCGGCTCGGAGCGGGCGGTGCCGGGCCGCCCCCGCGGCCCTGCCCGGCTCCGCCGCGGCGCTGAGGGCGGCCAAGCAGCAGCTGCGGGCGGAGCTGCGGCAGCGCCTGCGGGCGCTCGGCGCGGCCGAGAAGCAGCGCCAGTCCCGCCTGCTCGGGCGCAAGGTGGGTGCGGACACCCGGGCACGGCCAGGGCCGGGCCCGGCTCGCCGGGAAGCACGGCCGGGACTTTCCAGGCCCTGCCGGTGATCGAAACCGTGACTCAGGGGCCCTTCCGCCGAGCGGGGGTGAGCTCCGCCTCGGAGCCTTGCCTCGTCTCTTCCTCGGCAGCGCTGGGGAGCGGGGCTGGTGGCGCCGGTGTGACAGGAACTGCTGGTGGCACCGGCTAAAGCTGGGGTGCGGGGGACACTTCATCCCGGAGCGGTGATCACACATCGCCCTGGTGCTGGGGACACTTCATCCCGGTGTGTTGGTCACACATCACCCTGGTGCTGGGGACACTTCATCCTGGAGCGGTGGTCACACGTCGCCCTGGTACTGGGGACACTTCACCCCTGGGTGTCAACACCCACCCTGGTGCTGGGGACACTTCACCCATGGGTGGTCACACATCGCCCTGGTGCTGGGGACACTTCATCCCAGAGTGGTGGTCACACATCACCCTGGTGCTGGGGACACTTCACCCATGGGTGGTCACACATCGCCCTGGTGCTGGTCTCACTTCGCCTGTGGATTTTGGGGACAATGGGAGCAGACTGCCACACACCCCAAGCAGGGCTCCTCGGGGGCGGTCCCAGGTGTTTATCTGAGACATTTCACACCAGCCTGGCTCTGACCGTACATACAAAACCCAGCCACTGCCTGATTTGGCCTCTTGTTTTATGTTCTGTCATCTCCCTTCTGTATCTTCCAGCGGTGTTTCTTCCTCACAATTTTATTTCTAATATAATTTTCACACTCTAAAAGATATCAAGCAGGGTTTGCCTAACTGGTATCCTAGCACAGAGTGATATGGGTATGTACTTTTGAAATGTCCTGTTTGTGTTTGGATTACACAGTTTTTATATAGATGTATTTTATCATTTTAATAAACATAATAAAATTTTATTTTGCAGTCACTGCATGTAATAGAACACAGTCCTCATTTTTTTTTGCAGCACCAGCGGGTACTTCTAGATGATCTACATTTATATGGTTATTTTCCTGCCAGAGGCTCTCAAATCATTTTATAGACTTCATTTACTACTAATGTGTAGCCACTTCATGAGTGGGATGTGGCAGCACAGAAACTTTAAGTTGTAGGAAGTTTTAACTGGAATTTACATAACCCTTTTTTTCCTTGGGAATGCTTTTTAAGAACATATCTGTATGTAGCGTGCTGCTCTCATGATAATGCATTTTAGTAATCATACATCCTAGACTTAAATATCTTGAATTTTAGCAAATACTGGTATGCATGCCCTTCAAAAATTCAGAGTCCTCAGCCAACTTTTAAGCACCTAGCCCATGTAGTACTGAATTTTTAGGACCCTCAGCCTTTGTCTAACTGCTGCTGATAAACACAGCAGCACAGCACTCATTTCTTCTTGTGAGAGCACTCTAAAAGATACAGCCTTTGTTTTGCTTAAAAGAAGGCATCAGGAAATATGACATAAATTGATATTATCTTGCCCTTTTCTTAATCTGACACAAATTGAAAATCTTGAGTTTGCTTGAGACAGAGTGGCTCTGTGCAAGTGGCAGATAGTAGAGTTGGCTTCCTCATGGGGGGTGGTTAATACAGCAGACATGGAGAAATTTTAGAACAGGTTGAGAAAATATTTGGAATTAAATAAGGCCAAAAATTTAGCTTTGTAACATACATCAGTGCTTGTAGCTAATTAAAGTGAGCAGGCTATTTTACAACACCTGAGTAATATTTTCAGTGGAAAAATCTCATTTCAAAATAATCTTTAAATTCAAAATGAAATAGCTTCACAGGCTGACCTAGCCACCAGTATTTAATTAGCTTCTGGGTGATTATTCTTTTTTAATGCTTATGTTCATGATTAAAGTCATGCTATTTGCATGCTCTGATTCTGAAAAAAATTCCATCAGCTGGTGAACAAGGGACAGATAATATTTGTTAAGTGTGGAAATTTTTTCAGTCTTCTCAGAAACTGCTCCGAGTCATAGCATGAGCATCTACACAAT